CACGTGCGCACGAGTGCGCAGAAGCACAACGATTGCGACCTCAACGCAGTTTCCTTTTCCAGGGACAGGAAATAAAAGGCTGCACTCGTAGTCAAAAAGTGTATTTTAAATATGCTTCCAGGTTTCTTGTTTTCATCAGTATGAAAGTTAAATGAAAATATCCTTACAAAATGTTCTAGGAGGTAACTATTAACAGGGACCTTAAAAGCAACTTCCATTACAAAAGATAAAAGAGGTGCAATTGGTGTTTCCCTTCCGTGATCGTTTATTGAATGCCTACTATTTACAAGGCACTGTACCAGGGCTGTTCGGTAGGGACAATGCACAACCAGATGCCTGAATTCCAAAGACAGAGCAGGACCACACTTCTCCTAAGCAAACTGGAGGCAATATTTGTCTCCCGCAGTCTACTCCATAAACTACATGAAATGCTCTCCAAATCACTCTGGACGCTGAATGAAACTGTGTTATCTTTCTAACCTGGCCACCCTAGAAACTCGTGAGGGACTTCACCTACCATTAAACACAGTGAGGATTACAGCGGAATTGTGGCAAACCTGGAACTAATATTATATTCTCTGGGGCCTTTTTTTTCTTTATAACATATATTATGACAATTTAACATGTTAAACCATCATGTTAGGTTAGAGGAAATATTCAATGAATTAAAATATCTACTGACAATTTGTGTGGTTCTAAGAGCTTAATAATTTGTTTATATACTTTACTATTTTTAAAAAATCTGATTTTTAAAATTCACTGAAAAAGCTAATTCATTTCCAAATTTATTCCCAAATTAATAAACTGATTTGAATGTAGATATTCGAAGATCTTATTTAATGTCAGAATTTTAGAGGTTTTCTTCAGTTCTTTATGCTTTTAATGATTTTTGATAATTCAGAGCAATTTGTGTCTTTCCTTTTCATATCACAATAAAACCACTAATGTATTCCTTCGTACAATTCCTGAAAGCTTCACTACACCACGTGAGGTCTTTTATTAATAGATAACACCAATTTATAATAAGGTCTTTTCAACGTTTTAGTAATTAAATATGCTTCACACAAAATATAGCTATAACATACAATGGTCTCCAATAAACTGTATAATTCTTAAGTCCATTGTATCTTCTTTATACGCTAATAGAAAATAGAAAATTATTTTCCAGTAGTATTATCTACAGATGAAAATGAAGTTTTAAAAACAGTGCAGAAAATTCCAATTTAAATCAAATGGATCAGATTGATATTTCCTTAACAAGATTAGAATGTCAAATAAGCATCGACATTAAATTTTAAGAGTTATTCATTACACTGTATAACCTGTTTATATGAGAGGCACCATGGGCTAGTGTTTGGGGTACAGTTCTGAGGATCAACCTCTATGAACTAAAGCTCCAGATATACCATTAACAGTACACTTTCTGTGCCTCGATTTTCTTGTCTAAAATAGAGATAAGCATATTGACCTAACTCTAAGTAAATTATTTTTTACAACTAGTTAAAATTATGCAAACAGTTAAGCAATATAGGTTAAAATTTACTTGTCCCTTGTAGTGAATATTCTAATGCATGTAACTTTTTCAGATGTCAATTCTAACTTGCTTTTGTCTATAGGACTTAGTTTATAATTGTTTAACTTAATTTCATGTGAAGATAGAATTCCTAAAACTTATTATAATTCTAATTACTAGCTTAATTTTCTAATAAGTGGCTTACCCTATTTATTTCTGAAATAGTAGCAATTCTCCAAATTACTTTTTAAAAATGTTGATGATAAATATTAAAATGAGCAGTAATACCTTAGAAATAGAACACTTTAAATTATATATGTAACAGAAATTAAATTTGTGTATATATTTAAAATGGAAAGTTTCAGTAGTGCATTTTCATAAATTAAAATGAACACATCTGAGATTTCAAATGATACAATTAATTCAACTGGTTGTTTTTTCCCACCCTTATAAAAATACCACAATAACACTAACTTTAATTAGAACTGTTACTTAGCCCCAAAATTTATTTTTTTTTATTTCAAAACACTCAAACTACAGATGTTTGAAGGTGTCTATTTGGCATAGCCACTAAAAAAGTAAAGTCACAATATATTCATACACAAAAACTACAAAAATATATTTTTAATGGATCTGCTTTTAAGTTATTCCGTGTAATAATAATATCATTAAAATCACTCCCAATAAAATGTTTTTTTTCTTTTAATGATCCAAATCTATACTGAAATGATGAAATTGAAAAACAAGTGTTCTTGTCAGAAGACAGGAAGAAAGTTTTTTCCCCTCCCTTAAGGAAAACAAAGGATTCCTGAAAGCTTTGCCCTGATTTATTTTTCCAATTTTAAATACCTTAAGAGTAGCGGAACTGCTACTGGCATGGTAGTATTTCTAACAGTCAATAAATCTAAAATATTATGTGTGAATACTGGAATGAAGCCATTAAGAAGATTACAGCGTGCAACACAGCAGAGGGTCCACAGGAAAAAGCAGCAGTAATTCGGGACGACTGTGACCACTGACCTCGGAGCAGCCAAGACCAGTGGTCAGTGTGGCGCGGTAATGGAGAGCACATGCACAGAGCGCCGTCCGGCCTGCACGTGTGATTCAAACGCTCTGGTGAGCGATGTTAGAAGTCCCCCGTTTAAATCTCAGTTAACTTACTGAACAATCAAACAATACCAGTAGTAATATTTTCCAGGTTTCAAGTATATTTTATTAATTCAAATCACGAATAAAAAATTTCGGTAAGATCATTTGTGATTTTAACACATCTCATTCAAAATATCTATAATTGTAAAAATATGATGTGATATTTCATCGTATTTCCTCTAGAATTATAATAAGAGACAGCTTTGGAACACTGAGGAAAAAGCTAAATTTACTAGAGATGCATTAAACAATCACCCAAAATATTTTTAGAAAATTCCTTTAACTTTAAAACATCTCATAATTTCAGTAAATAGTCTTAGCTCCAGCTCAGAGCTATTTTGATTTCTGTAATCTTCAAATTTGTCTGTAAGTATACGGCCCTTAATTTCAAGCATGTATTTAATCAACCTATACCACTTTTCAGTGTTCCTTTTTAATCTACATTTTTAATATTTCAGTTATGTTTAGTTATGCTGTTGCTTATGAGTAAACTACAAGATGTTCACTTTTGTCATTTTATATATTTAGACTTTTATATTACATATTTAACTTCTCTGTATATATTTAAATAAATGTTTTAATTATCAAACTAATCCTACTAGGAAGTAGTACTTCTCAATTAAAAAAGAATCAAGAATCACCCATCAAAAAATGAAATTTCAAAGATTGTTTTTCCTCAAGGAATCATCTATCATTGAAGCTGACTATAAAAATTTTAATATCATATACAGAAAAGCTGAATTTCTTTTTTTTTTCTTCTTCTTTCTTTTAACAGTTTTTTCTCCTTACGGATTAACAGTGGGAAATACATGTACATAAGGAAAACATTCTTAAAAGTTGAGATTCTATTTTCATAATTATTTCTTTATCCAGTGAAGACCACTTCGATGGATTTTTAAATTAATAACTATAATCATTTCTAGCAGTTTCTGCAAAATTTTATAATGAGGCAATGTGGTTATAATGAGTTAAAAAGAGAATTTTTGACTGGCCTTTAGTGAACAATTTAGATTTGTTCATATGTAGGATCAATTTTACTACAGAAAGATAGAGTAGTTCAATTTTAACGTGCCTCAAGGTCAGCAAGAATCTTAGGTTATTTATGGGCATTAATAATTTGATTTTGACTTTCAAATCATGTTTTTGCTATAACTGGCCATAAGAACAATCAAGGCTAGTATTACTGTATTTTTTGAGTTTCGGATTTTTAAGTTCACTTTCTCAAACTTCTTAATAATGGATTTCAAACTATTTGCAATATTACAGAAAATATATTCTGAAGGTTTTTTTATTCCCAAATTTCAATATCCTTGAAAAGAATGAATGCTTTGATTTTTTTAAAAGGGAAGTTATTTTAACTGAGAACTATGTTATAAAGATATTTTTAAAAAGCCATTAAAATACATACAGGAACAGTACTAGTTTGCATTTTTGCCCTGTACTAAGGAATATGCAGGCCAAAAAATGCACTTTTGGAGACTATTTAACGTGAAATACAGAATATGTCCCATTATAAGCTGCAGACACACGCGCACACACACAGAACCCTCTGTGAGATCAAAGACCAGAAGAGAACTGGCACTTAATTTATCAGCCTTTACAGACAAAAGACAGTTTTCGTCATTTCAAAAGGATCAGATGTCTTTTATGACAAACTGGGTTTGCAGTTTAATTTACAAATAGAATTCTAAGCAAGCAGTCTTTGCTCTGCCAAAGCAAATGACAAACAGTGTAGGTTTTCATTCTCGCGGCCCTCAGCAGGATAAAAAAGATTAAAATAAAACTGAAATAATTTAGAGCAAACAAATAAATGTTTCAGAAAGTTGAGGGAGATCAAAGCCAGAATTTTCTGACCCCAACTGTACAAGCATTTCTTATTATATTGACCAGGAACGCTGGATCATTAATTAAAAGGAAAGCACTGGCAGGTGGCAGGGAAGCAAGAGCCGGTAATTGGCCCCCTTCTCCTTCCAGCCTTCAGAAGCCCTCTCATTCTTTTGCAAGACATGCCACCAGGCAGACAGAAATGCCTACTTTGTAATATAATGATTAAGATGAGATGAAGAGACTCACATTTGAAGGAACTCTGCCTAATGAATGCAACTAGCTTTTTAATTATGATCCTGCTTTTACAATAAGGAATATGATGTTCCATTCAGTATCTCCTCCACTGCCAAAAGGAAAAATATTAAATACAGAATCTACATCAATTCCTCTCACACCCCATGCACATACCCAACCCTTTTATTTCAGATAGAAAAAGTGGGAAAAATAACTTCATAATGCAATGGTCTAGGAGAAAACGTGCGTGTTCATCACAAAATATCCTCACACTTACCACGTCACTCGGCAGGTTGTACAAGTCGTTAAACGGTGATTCCAAAGTGTTTGTATCAACATTCAACATGACCACATCGTCCAACGATTTGTTTTTCACTCTCTGTTTAAAAACCACAATTACAAACAAAAATCTTAGTACTCTTTTCCTACAAAATTATGATGCACTTGGAAATACATTTAAAAATTATCGTAATGGATTAGGCTTGGGAAAAGGAAAATCTTACATTATAAAAGAATATAAATAATCTTGCCTTCTGAGAAAGGAAGTTTGAATACAACCCATTCAAAAGGATTTGGTAAAAATGCTTAAAACAGAACATTTGCTCATCTAACATTAAACATAACTACCAGACAGGTATCTCAACAAAGACTTACAAAATAGGCACAAATACATCAAATTGTAAAAAAATTACATCCTCTAAAATTTATCAATCGAATTTCAGTCCCATGATACAGGAATTTGTAGCCAGCTCTATATCTATTTTTAGCATAAAATATATTGCAGGGATAACATAAACCAATAACTACAACTACAGTATTAAACTAATAAATATTTTCTCTATATTTCTATACCAATAGGTATATGTTGATGATGAGGACTGAAAGTTGAATAAGAAAATAAAAGAGAGGATAGTAATGGGGAATTCATTGTTAGTAACATTTTTCGCATGAATTTCAATATAATCACATTTAATTGCCTATCAGATTGACTATCTTGACTTGTCTTATCTGTTTAAAAGCTTAGTCAAAATAGTTAAATTATCTCAATATTTCCACAAATGATAACAAATTAGAATTCTACCAATTTTTTATTTCAAAACATTAAGGGGGTACAAATGTTTTTGTTACATGGATACCTTTTGTAATGCTTAAGTCGGGGCTTTTAGTGTGTGTCCTTCACCCAAATAGTGTTTATTGTGCCCAATAGGTAAGTTTTCTACCTCTTTCCTCCTCCTCCCTTCCCCCTTCTATCAAATTTTTCATCTTTAGATAAAGGAAACATTTATGGTTCATTTTTCCTATTTAAACTAATATATATATACTTAAATCATATAATTCTATTAGTCTTACATAAATTAGAGCAAATAGTATTAATCCTCAGTGATAGATAAGGTGTTCATTAATAAAATATATTCATGAACTCAGAATTTCATAACTGTATAGGTCAACTAATAGGTTAATAATTTTAGTATAGCATTTTTAAAGTGATGTTTTATAAAGATAGTCATTTTTGAAAAGTATTACTTAAATACCTTAAATTTTAAATTGGTTCAACTGATTATTTTAAGTTAGCATGACTGAACTTTCTCTGATCCACTTAGAATTTCAAATCTCTGCATATTAAGTAGAATGTTAAATTTGCTAGGGTACTATTAGTCTAGGGTAGGAAATTTCTGTGTTAAGAAAACCACAATATCTATGTAGAGTGTGGATTCTCAGGGGACATATGATTCTAAAAATCTACCTTGTAAAAGACATCATAACTATTCTAAAGTAAGACTAAGATAGTAGCCATCTTAGATATTAACTAAGATATTAGCAGAGAATCCCTAATGATAACACTATTAATACTACTATAAAAACTATTTCCCTTCCTTTCCATGTGTATACATATATGTAAAAAAGTTTTAAATACATAAATGTGTGGTTACTGAAAGATTAACTATAGTATAACTATAATAATAACCTATTTTATAAACAAAAATATAATTAATGACATTTCTGTGGAAAAATTATGTCATAATTTTGATTTCTTCATTTTTAAGTTTCCTTATGATAGAAATTGTAAAGATAATCTAGAAATCTGATACATTTTTTAAGGGATGAGTTAGTCTATAAATAGCCTAGGATAATAGCTATGTGCCCTTCAAAATGTTTTGTGATGACATTAAACACTAAACTCTCAATAAAGGAAATTGGTATTAATATAACATGCATAATTTTTTCAAAATTGCTTTTATTTTTAAAAAGTCTAATAATAGCTGAACATTAAATTCAGTTCAAGGGACCACTCAATAAGAACAGAAAATAATATTCATTCCAAATCAATAAACTAAGAGCCCCTAAAGTGAGAACTCCAATAGGCAAAAAAAAAAAAAGTATATAATTTAATTTTTTAAATGTTTGGATTAGTATCAATATTTTATCTATTTTTTTCTCTCCAAATCAGGCTTTTGCTGTTTTTTTCTAACTGGGCTTGGGAAGTCATACATGGTATATAAAATTGTGCCTCTTTCTCTGTCTCATATTATCTCATAAAATTGTAAGATATAACATTAAGAGAAAATATAAAAAATGAATTTACCTTTTTATTCAAAAATAAAATAATATGGGACACAGACTAAAAGCCCCATTAAGAACAGCAGTGAGGTGCTCAAGTACACCAGTGATATTGACCCTTCCACACAGTGTGGCTACAAGTGTGCGTGATGCTCACTGATGTAAAGCAAGGTCACGGAGCCAGCAGTCACACAATCTTATGAAACTGGTTCGACATTTCATATAGAGTCCTTTGTATATTAAAACAAGTAAGATAACCCTCACAGTTGTAGCCTCTGCTAATTTATTCCTAACGACTACAGGCCTTAATCTGCCCTGAGCTCATCCCTGAAGTCTAGTTTTCAAAGGAGAACAAAATGTTTTTATCCTTGATTTTAGAAGAAAATTTTTATTTTACAACGAGATTTCTGGCCATCTTTTACTCATAATTTCATAAAAATAAAGAAAGATATAAAAGAACATTAATTTCATGTCTTTGAACAACTATATTTGGAAGTTGTTATAAACCTAATAAAATGTGTTGAAACTGTCTTGACCAGTAGAGATAGAATAAGAGAATATTTTGACTATTATGATAGGAAAAAATTGGTTGTAACTGCCAAACAAAATGCAAAAACTTACTCAGCTCAGTCTTGCATATGAAATATGTAAATAGCTATATTAGCATTTTAATTATAAGACAATTTTTGATAAAATAAAAAGCCAAAAAGATAGAAATTTTAGTGGGGAAAAAACTGATAATGACATAGTAAGACTGAAATTGCAGGATATACATCACCTTGTAAAAGATTAAAAAGAAAGTTAATAAGTGGTACCCAACTGGTTTGAAGAATTCTGGAGGTTCCCAGTATACCTTTTCATTCACTACTAAATCAAATAAAATAAAGCTGACTATTAAGACCCTTGAACAAGTCCAGAGTGTAAAAAGTACAGAAATATCAGCCAATCTAATCATGGTTCTGAATGTTTTCATTTAATAATAGGAGCCATTTAAATTAACAGACTCTCTCTCCAAGACAACACTTTCAAGAAGTAAATAATTCTTAAACTTTCTCCTTAAAAATAGTACTGGATTTCTCTATAAGTGTCCAATAAATATGTGATAAATTAATTGAATCTTTAAAATCATATATCCCTTTCTATATCATTTTGGAAAAACTGAATCATTTGTTTTAAAAGTTGATGTAGAATCATTATGCAAAAAAAATACAACATCAACAGGTAACAATTTCAAATATTTTTCATCTCTATAAATATATTGTAAAAATTACATATCCTATTAGATACATTAAATAAGGAGAGAAATATATGCTAACATAAAAATAAAATTTGACGACTCTTTAAAGCATCCAACTATGGTTAGATTTTGAATAAAGTCACATTACTGATGAATAAAATGCCAGTCATATATTCCATGATCTAATAACAGAATACCTATCCATTCATGTTTTATTTCATATAATTTGTCCTTTCACTATAAGTGCCTTGACATAAGAACAAGTTTTCTTAAAATGAATATAGTCATAAAGTTATCCAACCCAGACTTCAATATTAAAAACCTACTGAAGAAATCCATTAAAATGTATTTTTATTAATATTGAAACAAAAAATGTTGCCCTAGCATTTTGCAAAAAAGAAAAAAACGCCCAAAGCTGGAGCACAGGTACAACTCCATAACCCGGGCCTCCTACAGGGGCATGACTCTCTCCCAGTACGATCCTCAGGAGTTTTGAAATACATCAACAGACTCTTCTTTGATCAAAGTAAGGACTAATGGTATCTACAAAAACTAATAAGAAAACCAAGGCTAATTCATTAAGGTTGCTCATTAGAAATTGGGTTAAAATGAAATCTGCACAACCAGCAAAAAGAGAAATTTATTTGAATAAAACTGAAATCATCCAGCATAAGGATGCCACTCAACTGACTCAAGTCTTCTGTTTTAATCCAAGCCTTTTGTTTATTATTGTACATGCTAACTTTATAAGAACCCTCTCTGAAATCTGATTTTAAGTTCAAGGTGTTTAAAAGTCAAGATGTTTCACTATTTTAGTATTTAAAACTTACCATGTAACATCTACCAAATATAACTTAGTTCCATGGTTTCATGCTATTGAAAATGGTCATTCAGTATACTAATTTAAATGAAATCATTTCAATGGTACCTTTTTTAAAATGAACATTTAAGTATAATCCAAATATAAAACTAGTCATTGCTTTGTACTATTCAACTGATATTCCTTCAAAACAAAATTGTTTCAACTACGATTTTTATTAATTTTATCACTATCCCAATGTCTGAAAGATACTCACCTCTATGAGGCTGGAGTGTATTCCAATCAGGTATGGCATTGGGGCACTAAATTAAAAATATATATATACATAGATTCATATAGTTCATTAAAACTGAAACAACAATATAAGCAATTCACGTTTAAAAATTTAAATGTTTTAAATGCACAGTTCCAGCATAACACATTATAGATAGTCAAAATTATTTAATATATAAAACTCAAATTTAATCTTAGAGGCCATTAATATACTAAAATTAAGGTTGGTTTATATAAAAATCACAAAATCATTTATAATCAAATCAAGAGTTGCAATGCCTAAAAACTTTTTTATTTAAGAAGAGTATCAGGGTGTGGGCCATAGTCTTGGGTTGAATCTTTCCATACACCTCCTGGCAAATATATACTAAATAATCACCAAATTTATTTACATTCCTTTTGTACATCTTTTCCTATTCAATTAAATTCTTCTTTCTATGTTATTTTTTAATATGTCTTCATTGTTTCATACCTACTATGCCCCAAATATTTATTGAGTCAGTCAAGAAATATACCTTGAGACTTACTGTGTGTCCAGCACAGTTCTGGAACTAAGAGGTGCAAAAATAAATAAGTTCCTCACCTACTGTGCTCTCTTTTCCCTTCAAGTACCTTGCCTTTTATTTAAATTTTATAAATTCAGGTTTATCCAAATTTTACTTTTGTTAATGATTTTAATAAATTTTAAAATAGTTAAATGTGAGAAGGATCTTGAATTAAGTAATTCGACACATGATACTCGGAGCATACCAAGTGCCAGGCCGTGAGGTAGGGTTTGGGAACAATAATGAACATATAAACAGAACATATTCCCTTGTGGATCTTATACTCTAGCAGAGCAGACAGATATTAAATAATTTTAAATATATAAAATCAGAATTACTAGTTATTTCAGAAATGCTGCTCATGAAATACATGAAGGAAGTTATTTGACATTTCAAAACTAAAATATCATCTAACATGAAAACATGAGCATGGACAGATGTCTACCAAGGTGATAAAAGATATGTGAATAAACAGCTATTTTAAAACAAAACATTTTGGGCAATTCTTTTATAGACATCTCTGTGCTCTATTAATGCAAACCTTTTCTATTAATGCAAACAGATAATCCTCTTTCTCAAAGGATTTGCATAATTTTCTAAACGTCATTGTCATTATGAGAACAAAGCTGTCCAAACTACTGTGTGTTCACTTTGCTACCGAGAACCAGTAATAGATAAAACTAACAGGCACCTTGACAGACTCAGAGATTTCAAAGTAACCTCAAACAGCTCCAAATTTAAGGATGGCTAAACATTAATCTACACATCCAGACTTCACAACGCAAGTGTTAAATTCTTATTTTACTCCTCGTTAGCCCGTACACTCCAGTTCACTACTTCTTCATATACTAGATTCTAATTCCCAGTAGTCTTTGCCTCTGGCAGCTTTGTTCCTCCCTATTTTTTTTTTTTTTAATTTTTATGCAACAGACCATCTGGAATTAATCTGATATTCTGGATTCTTCGCTTGACTGAAAGTTGAGAACTATTTATAGGCCCTGATATCCTTAAGACCTGACAGATTTTCTGCCTTCAAAAGGAAACGGGGGGAACAAATGTGGACTGTTCCACTTCTGCTTAAGTGAGGGAAGGCCAGTCACTGCCCCAGTTCAAGTTCTCCTCCCTGGAATTCCTTCTGGAACTCCACAGAAGACATAAAATGCACGTCACTAGCTATTCTGGGCTTCCATGACTGGGCTTGGGCAACTTTGACTAAACAAGCCAGGCAACTCCCAAGATCTTTACTACGTGAAGCCCTCCGCACATCCAAAATAGTATTAAACTACCAAAGTCACTACGCGAACTTCCAATTTGCCAGGTTAGGTTACCCTACCCACAAGATTTATAATATACAAAGAGTCCCTGGTATCTCAGGTTTCAAAGTATATTTTAATAAAATAGTGTTAATCAAAACATTTAAGCCTTCTAGAAACAATAATCCCCATGTCCATTTTACAAATGTGCAAGGGATGTTGAGTGGATAAAAATTTCTTGAAATCAGAGACAACGGTGCTAAGTAACCTACTGAAATACTAGGAAATACATCTAGGAAAACATTTTTAAAATTTTATGAAAGCTACTAATCTTTAGAAGTATAAACAACAAATTTATAAAAATTACTAAGCTACAATTAAAAGTTGAATAAAAAGCTCCTACGCAGAAGTTAATAATACAGTAACTTGAAACTTTTTAAAATATGATCACTGGGTATCATCCACACGTTTTCTTCTCACTAATTTCTAACAAAATCCAAAACATAACGGACCTGAGAACTGTAAACATTATTAATCTGAAGCCTAATTTCCTAAAATAATTGTGATGTTTTACAGAATACAGAATTAATTGAATAGTTGTTTCTTTCTCACAAAAAATGGATTGTAATCCTAATATGAAATCAGCTAAACCTAACGAAAAGTAACTCTGCAACCCTCGCTGAAATTTCCCATGTAGATTAGGGCATTAATAAGCCAGAAAGAGATTCTCGGCAGCACAGGTGTTTTGACATCCACGTGCAACACTGTCCTGAACCTTCTGTCAATGAAGTCGTTCTGCAAAGACAGGATTCAGAAGGCTCCATTATTTCTGCTGCTGCTCTTTGTTAGCAAGTTCATCTTTACTCAAAAATAGGCTCTTCTTTTTATAGGTTTTCTTTCGAAGAGACCACCCATGACACAGACTACAACGGCAGTCTACTAGGGTAGTCTAAAGGACGTAATTTTTATTTACTTTTTCAAACACTATTTTCTTAGAAGCTAAGTCTGCTCCTTCCACAGAAGAGTCAGATGGACAGCCTAAATAAAAAGAGTTACTCAACCATTCCCTGAAAAAATAACAAACGATCATAACTTTATTGGTGCTCGAGTCACACCACCTCCCCTGTGTTTATGGACTCAGACAGGTAAGAACGTCTGGCAACATCACAGACTTGCACACGACAGTCCTCTTGTACTGGCTGATTAAGGGGACACTGTGGATGGTGTCACTTCTCCCAGGAGCCTTCCCTAACCTGCCAGGGAGTGTGGGCTACTTCCTCCTTTGCACTTCCGTTCATGGTTCTCTCGTACGCCTCTGCTGGAGCACTTGGAGTATTTCAGTAGTACGCTTTGCTGTGGGTGTGCGTACGCACAGGTGTATGTATGTGTAGATTTCTTCCTATCTGCAAATCTCACAAGGGCAGATGCTAAGTCTTACTCATTACATTACATATTCACAGCTTGGTAAATAGGTGCTCACTAAACGTTTAATGAATAGATAAATGAACGCATGAACCAACAGAGGAACAGGTCTTTATCAGTAGATCAAGATGCGCTGTTCACCCATGGTCACAAGATGGCATCGCGGCTCTCCACACTCCGTGACACAGCAGAGCCACCAGGTTCAAAAACAGAAAGACTTTGTGGAGGGAGGATTATCTCAGGGTTTAGAAAGTCTCAATCACGTAAAAGAGTTAGCAAAGATATATCTACTCCTATCAAATCTTCCTGGTGCTATTTTTGAACTGCTATATAAAATTTATTTATTCAAAGCCCATGAGATTGAAGGGATAATATGTAACATTTTTCTCCCTTTTGCATATAGATCAGCATGATTCTAACCTCGAGGATGCAGAGGGAAGAAAATCATTTTTTCTAGGAAACAGTTTAATCCACCAAATTTTTTGACAATGAAAGAGAGCCAGAGCCTTGGTTATGCTAAAAAGAATCACGTAAGTACAATACGACATTGCAGTTCCTGTGACAGAAGCTGAGCCTGCCGTTGCGACCTTAAGGTTCAGGGAGTCTCAGACACTCCTTGTGTGAGTGCCAGTGCTCTACCCTCCGGACCAGGGAGGTGTCTGCATGCAGACTGTCAGAACTCACCCCAAAGGCTATTTTAGATGTTAAAACTAGGAAGAAAATTCCAGGGATTGAAATATGAAACAAGCTTCCTTCATTATGGTGGAAGCAGCAGAGAAAGAAGGATCTGATGGCAGGGACAGAAAGTATCAGAAAGACAGCTCTGGAAAGAATTAGTACAGACTGCCTGTGTCATAGAATAGATTCTAAATAACATTTTAGAAAGCCTTAGATGTGTAATTCATTATACAGAATTGAACTTAAAGGTGTGTTACCTGTTAAGAGGTCAGAACATTTTAATAGAAAAATTAAGATGTCATTAACATTATATATGATAAAATATAATTCTAAACCTCCTAAGTAGAAGTGTTAGTTCTTGAACCATTAACTTGACATATTTTTAAAAATCATATCTCAATATATTTTCAAATGCTTTCATAAAAAATATTTTTGAAATAAATCAGTTTTAATCACCGAAATCTATGTGTAAATATCTACCACATATGTCAACATCAACAGACTGCAGTCCCTGTCTTCAAGGATGCTAAAATACTACAGGTATGCTGGTCAAAGAAAAACTCTAAAATGAATAATAAAAGAGCCTATCTATAGATTTAGCTTTCCTCTTAGACTTGTGTGTGACGCTTCACAATGTAATTAAACTGCATTCCTGCAGTCTCCTGCAAAACTGTTTCTCCTTTCTAGTTATTGAACCACAGAACGCGGTGGTGGCAGGACACCAGGCATCTTCGCAGCGTCATGAATACTCACAATGGTACTGTGCTGTGGAGATACACAACATGTTAGTATAACAGACATGTGGCCAAGCACATGTGTTGTCATTACCATCACCTGTTCTGAGCAGGGTTGGTCATAAAAACTTAAAAGAAAACCTGTATGTATGAACTTAAATCATTTTAATCCTTAAAATACTTTCCGCCTTTCGCAGAAAGTGAAATAAATATATTTATTCTAAAAGAGTTTTGGTTTTTAATAATATTAGCTGTGGTATAAACAAATACATTACAGTCAAAATTACTTCCTTCTATGTATGTGTGGACATGGTTCAGAGGAAAAACCTCATCACATTTCCTAAGAATTAAGCTACGCCTGCAGAAAATGAATATGCAATGAAGACAACATTTTACCCCCCAGTCCTGAAGAAAGTCCTGGAGCTGCCGTTCAGGGAGTACAATCCTTGTCTGGCCTCACTGTAAGCATGCAGACTCTGTCAGGGGACGAGGACAAGGAGGTTCCAGAGGCCTGGCTGAATTCAGATCGGGCTGGATCCCTGAGAGTTGTTCTAGGACTAGGAAGCTCTTCAGAATTACTCGCAAGACTTTGCAACATTACCTTCCACAGTGGCGTAAGGCTGAGACTTTGAATTAAACCTGAAGCTTGAGAATTCCTGCATCACAGGCAACCTGTCTGCTGGTATTTGGTACTGGGTGTGCTGCTGACTTGGCAGACACACTCTGACACCTGAGATACTGGGTTCTGTAATTAATGCCGTAAGTTCTGCACTGTTTTCCCAACCACAGCCTGATTGTGTTTGTTTCTATTTACGCATTTAGTTATCTAAATGACTGCAGAAGAAATTCACAAAATCCAAAGAACTTTATGTTTGCCAAGTATAAATTTTTGCTGCCCTTGAGAAGAATTATTCTGTTGTTCATAAAATCTCTCCTTAGTACTTATTTCTAATCATTAAGTTTCCACAATTTCTTTCATACAGACCCCAAGTTTACCTCGTCTACAAATCAATGTGTACTTTTTCTAACCGTGAAACCTAGATCTCAAGGAGCCTGGCGAAAGCCAGCTTACCAGCAGTAGTCCAGCAGGTGGGGGGGCAGCACGGGGATGTATATGTGTTGCCAGTGCATCGGGTACAGGAGAGCAGCCGACCCATGGAGACAGGCGGTTAACTAAAGTTGGTAAGAGGATAACAAAAATAAGTAGCCGCTGACCCTCCAAAAAAGAGGCACATTCAATGACGTAAATCACATTGTCTTTATCAATTCTACATGTAAAAGGTCTCATGCCTCAGAGGCCCCTCTGAAAAATACATAAACAGCAAAAGTAGCTTCTTGGGAATCATATGCAGATAGTAATAATCATCTGAAAATACAGAGCTTGGGTCAAAACTTAATACATAAATAGAACTGAAACACTGGGCGCGCATCTTAAAAATATTGTAGGAAATTACGATTTGTACAGTACAGTTTGTGCATCACTCAGATTAATACAACATGATTAAATATGGAAAGGAAGAGAGGCTGAAAGCTCCTGAGGGATATCATTAGGGCAAATTGCCAAAGAATGAAACATGAGCCAGTCAGGAGAGTCTGGAAGCTGCAGTAATACCAGGGGACTTGCATGTTCGACAGTTGGAGCTTCAGTAACGTGTGAACTGCGGGTTATGGTATCAGGAGACTCTGTTCACTGACACATAGAATGTCACTATTGACCAGCGAACTGCCCAAGCTTGACAGCTGTGCTCCAGGAAGCCAAGTATATCATAATTTCATATTTAAACTGTTCATTCCAGATTAACATTTTGTTTCTTAGCTTTGGATCACAACAGCTGCAATTACATTGTTGCGATTTTAAAGGTAATTGCCATTTTAATTGTTTTGTTTTGGCAAGCAGTTAATTAAACATTTTTTAACACTTAACAAAAGGATATCACTTTTTTCTCCCTCCTACTAACCCTCATCAGAATTTTTTCCATGTGACTTTGTTTCCATTTTAAATTATATTTCTGTGGGTGTAAAGTCATTTTTTAGTGTTTAAAGCAATAGTTAAATCAGCATTTTTCATCATTTTAAAGTTTTGTTACGGTCTGTATCTCAAGGTTACCAACTAAATCATTTAATTCAACTTGAAAATCAAAATTTTAAAAGAAAACTATCTGAAAGTGAACCACAGATTCTATGAACCATTATCTCTACTTTATTATTATATGAATAAATTAAAACACTGTAAAATAATTAATTTAAAAGAATAAAGGTACACAAAGCAATCCATATCTTCCTAATAGCTACATTTGTCTATGTTTAAAAGTGCAAAATGGGGGGGGGGGGTAAGGGCAACATACGTAACCTAAACATCTGTACCCCCATAATATGCTGAAATTAAAAAAAAAAGTGCAAAATAGTTTCATTAAATAAAAAATCAATTAAAATAATCTGATCTGAACTAAAAACATACAAATTTTCATTGGAAATACACTTTGTCATAGATATTATATTTTTTCAGCCGGATTACTAATCAACTTTATATGGCAAACAATGTTTTTTGATTTCACTTAGGATGTTACCATTAAAGGGTTTTAGTGCCTTGCACTTACGAGCTTTAATAGTTTGTCGCAGTATCCCTTCAATAAATATTTTTTAAATTTCTTAAATGGAACATACAGCATGCCACTAGGAGGCATTCAAATATTTCTATTTAACAATTATAGACCATAAATTTATTTACTTACAAACGTGAACTAGAGGGAAATGAAAATGGGGTTGCTCTAACTCATTGTGTCAAATTCTCCAAGAGCTTTCAGATGCTCCCTGGTTGTAAACTGGGTCTCCTTAAGGCTGGGTTAACTCTTTCCATCCCTTCGGTGTAACCTGATAGGCTAAAAGAGCTTATGTAGCTTTGAAAGGCAGCTAATTACTCGATTTCTCCATCTGCACACAACTGACTTTTAAAACAGCTCATTTAAAACCTTAAAAACAAAAAAAGGAAAGTGTTCCTTTTGTATTACTGAGAAAGTAACAATGTAGCAAGAGAAAAAATACATTCTCAAAATGAGGAATTTTAAGGAGGGTGACTTATTTCACCGAGCAAATTCAGAGCCCAAAGCACTGTACTAAATGCTATGCAGATGCTTTCCCTACCCCCTTAATGGTCACCTTCAATGCAGTCATTAATTTTCCACTAACAAGACACAACATTATCTGATGAATCTGACTGGTTTCTTAGAGGATGGTTTCTGCGACCATAAGCAGAGCTGCAAAATCTCTGCAATGGCTAGCATCAGGCAACGGGTCATCCCTGCTAATCAATATCTACCAGGAGAGGAGGAAACTCTACAGGACTTGGCAACTTTGGGGATATGGGGAATAGGTGACAGAGAGAGGTAAAAACACATGACAACTCCACCACAGCCCTGGTTTCCAAAATTCATAACTAGAATGAATTGATATAATAATCCATCATATTATATAGCCAAAGGGTCAGGTTTAAGTGGAACTATAAGCAATTTGCTTTTGCAAATATTGGTTCTGTTAACTGTGAGGCATCCAAATGGATATTTCCAGAGAAGGCAGAAGCACATCAAAGGACAGCCCTCATACTCACCAGCGGCACGCAAGAACTATGTAGCTTTAAAAATTGAGAAAATATTCTTACAGCATATTCTTTGTAAAGAAGATAACAAAGTTGCAAGTAAAGAAAAATACAATTAAGAAAACATAAATTTACTAGAAAATTAAACACATTTATATATAAATTATAACAAGTATACTATAGACACAAAGTGAGGGCTGTACCTCCAACAGCTTGTGTGGCCTCCAACACACCTGTTAATATAACTAGGTCTCAGTATCTTAATCCTTAAAACAGGAACTCTACGCTGGATGACCTGAGCACTGCCTCTCATATATGCTTTATTCTTAAATCAGATCAATTCCAACTTTTTATATTCTTATTTTTTTTCCCATTCAGGTGGTTAACAGAATATTTTAATCGGACTATAATTCAGATCTACCTTCAAAATATATGTAAAGATCATCTCTAAATGATTTAAAACACATTAGGTAACTGTGCAACTGGAAATACAATAATTTATCTGCTTAATTCAACAAAAATTTTGAGCGCCTGCTATGTGCTAACATAAATCCCTGCTAGGCAACAGGGCCAAGGCAATGAACGGAACTAAGTCCCTGTTTTCACGGAGCTTACACGTTAGTGGAGAAGGCAAACAGTAAACAAGTAAAATAGATATTATGTCAGCTGGATATGGATTTTATGAAGAAATCTAAAACAGGGCAAGGGGCTAGAGAGCGACGGAGGGGCTACTTTAGACAGGAGGATCCTAGAAGAACTGCAGTGCGGCGACTGAGACCCAACTGCAGCGAGGGAGCAAACCGTGGACTTGGGGAGAAGAGGTTCGAAGTCCTGACACAGAAACACGCTCTGCGTCTTCACGGAGCACGGGGAGGCCGTGAGATTAGACTGTAGGAAGCCGGAGAACAGCATGAGATAAGGTCAGACAGGAAAGCGGGGTCAAAAATGGGGAACTTTCTAGGACATGGCAAAGACTTGAAGTTTTATTCTGCATGAGATTTTTCTGTACCTCTGAAGAGAGTACTGATTGCCACAACAAACTGTTTACCTGGAACATTTTGAGAACTATGCAAATTGAAGGAAAATAAACTACATATTTTACAAGTTTGGTTTGCGGGATAAAGCACTGCAAAGAAATAAGATCAATTTAATGAGCCAAGTAAGAAAAAGAATCTCAATAAAGTTATTTATGATATATTGAATCTTTAAAGAGAGATAACACATCATATGTCTTTCTTCGGGCTAGAATTACCCAAGATCGTATGTCTGGTTAGCGACTCCACGTTGCTTCGCTAATATTGCCAGTGACTTCTTTAGAATCACCGTTATTCTTCATGAAAGCAAAGGGTGAGGGAAAATATTTCTATGTTTCAGTTAAAACATATATCTGGCATTATACTCTAAAACTGCAGGAATAATAAATCGTTATAATTTTCTGAGAAAAATAAATTTACCAAATAAAGGTTTAAGAAAAAATTCCTTACGGTGCACACGTATTTCCGTAAAGCATACTCAATATACGGAACCGATACAGTTCCAGAGGGCTAACGCTGAGAAGGTTTATTTCCTACAGACTCCAGTTACGAGCATATACGGGAACCTCGTGAAGAGACAAGAACTGGGGCCTGTGGATCCTACAGGGAAACCTCACAATGAAGGTCAGCAGCGGTGAACTCAGTCACGGCATAAAGGCGCTTGACACCCCCAGCCCAGGTCACCAGGTCTACTACAGGCGCTGCCATCCCTGGTAACGGCAGCAGCAGCACACATTTGCACAGTGCTGCCAAGTGCCAGGCACTGTCGTTGAGCACTTGGAGTACTCAGATCGATCCAGTCCTCACCACAATCTCATGAAGCAGGGACTATCACCACTATTCCCATTCAGCAGGACACTGAGGCGAAGCTAAACCAACTGCCCCGATCACACAGCTTGCAAGCAGCAAAGCCAGGACGTGCACCAAGGCAGGCTGGGTCCAGACTACACCAATCACTATTTTAAACTGCCTTTGGTACACAAAGATTTAAAATTCCCATCGTTATGAGGTTTCGAATGGCACCTACTGACTGAAAATACTGTATTTTATGCTAATTATGTAATAGAGAATGCATCTTTGGACTGAACAAATAAACAAGAACAGTTGACCTTTATATGAAAAAGTTAGGGAGCTACGATAGACAGAGATCCAATTTACAAAACTTTCCTCAGGCATTACAGTCTACAACTTCAGCAGGAAATTAATGGAACAGACTCTCGGAAAATGTTAAAAGGATAAGATCGTTGATGAAAGTTCTACAAGTTATCATCTCAACCTGCATTTGCAAATACACTTAACTTTGAAACCAAACCAAATCTGTCCTGCTTTTTGATATGAAATCTGATCTATTCCTGTCCTTAAACTATATTTATTACTGGAAATAAGCCTATTAACAAAACTTAGCAGTGTTTTAAGCAATCGAATAGGCATGTTTGTTGAGGGGGAAAAACCCACATTTATCAGATTCCCATGGACACAGCAGAGAAATGGTCCATCCACTATAATCACACAATGAAAAACAGCACAATTCTTACAGCACACCTTCC